AGATTGGGGTTAATTTCTCTGAGGAGGAAGCAGATGATTGTGGGAATATTTTAAGAGGTCTCTCCTGCCTAAAAATGAAGGTTAATGAAAACAAGAACAGTATGCAATTGTCATACCTGCACATATATTCATATATATGGTATTTGCTTTCTTAATTTGTTCTCATTAACATTTTTTTAAGGCCAAATATCTGAGTTACATCTTTCAATATCTTTGAAGTATCCGTGACTGGAGTAACAAGGCCAGAGCAGCTTTCAGCTCACAGAATCAGGCAACTTTTTTAAATAATATGAGTATCTTGCAAAAGACATATTTATACATTGTGGGCATGTCTACACATGTATCTACATGCGCCTAAATGCAATGCACCTTTGCTTAAGGTACATTTAGGTGATTTACGTGTGTGTCTACACATGGACACACTAATGCACATTAAGACATATTGCATTTAGGTGTGAATAGCTAAGTTGCATTAGCACACATGCAGAGGCACTAATGCGCCTTAACATGGTGTCTATCCACTGATGCACACCATGTTAATGAGCATTAGCACATCTACAAATGCTCCAATGTGACTTAGCTGTTCACACCTAAATTTGATACCTGCTTTGTGCCGGTATCAAATTTAGGCTCACATAGTTTTAAAGTGCCATTGTTAAGGTGCATTAAGGGCATACACATGCAAATGCATGCCTTTAATGTGTCTTAAAAATGGTGATTTCAGGTTAAACCCACTTGAGAGACATGCCTGGTGTGTGTGTGTGTGTGTGTGTGTGTGTGTGTGTGTGTGTGTGTGTGTATATGTGTATGTAGATACACACAGTGTCCTTTATTTTTATTTTTTTTATGAATCTGTTTAAAGCAGATACCTTTTTTCTTTTTATGAAAAAACATGTATATTTAGTACTGTGTTGCTGTACTGCTGAGGAACATTTTTTTCTGGGTATTATTATTTACTGTAATGATGTGTGTGTGTTTATATGTGTGCGTGTTTCTTTAGTAAGTGTGTAGACAACAATCAAAGGTAGAATGATTTATTAGTAAGTTTATAAAATAGTTATTGACTGGTCATTGGTAAAAGAAATACGTTTATCACAAAAATGCAAACAAATTAAACAGTTAAAGTATTACTTTAAATTGTTAATTTTTATGCTACAACAAGAAATGAATAATGAATTGCATGTTAACTATAAAATTTGAACGGAATATAATGAGACAATTTTATTTTCAAAGGGAAACTGAAGATCATCGCACAAAAATATTTATAATTGAGCACCTACTTTTGCATAAGCAATTAATCTGTGTATTTGAGGGTCTATAAAATTGGCTAATTGGCTAATGATTTAACAAGTACAAATTGAAGAGAGAAGAGTTAGAGGCCAGATTGTCAACCCCTTATATACAAAAATGTGTACCTACACAAGTCATACCATTGAACAACAATGGGATTGCTTGAGTAAGTCAGGGATCATCAGCAGTTAAGAAGGATATTACAGTCAAGTCCTAAAGAGGAAGAAACCACCCATTGTATGTATACCCATGCCAAGGAAGTGAATAAAACCAATAAAAACATGAATGAAAGAAAATATGTATAATAAAATAGAAACAAGCTTATTTCACATTCTGTTTTCATCAGATGGATGATTCACGGATGGATGATTCATGCTGTGTCTTTTTCTTGTTTGCTGTGCAGGTACTGGCTGACAAACAAAGTCCATATCAAAAGACCCAGCACCGGTCTCCTTATGTACACCCTGGCTACCAGATTTTGTGATGAAATTCATCTGTATGGATTCTGGCCATTCCCAAAGGATTTAAATGGAAAACCAGTCAAATATCATTACTACGATGATTTAAAGTATCGGTATTTTTCTAATGCCAGCCCTCATAGAATGCCATTAGAGTTTAAAACTTTATATATGTTACATAACAGAGGAGCACTTAAACTAACAACAGGGAAATGTGTACAGCAATAAAGCACCTGTACAGTACAATAAAAATACTGAATATGCACTTCATCATAAAGGTGTTGTGAAATGGCAGTGGGATACCACAGAGGATATATTTCAATACCCAATAAGCCATTGGGAAAAGGAAGTTTATCAGAAGTCCATTACCAGCTATTATACCTGTAAAGTGCTATAAAACGAAAGTTATCTTGACTGCAAGGGTTCAAGTAAGTGCCACTTTTCACTAAGAACAAAACTTGAATGTATAATCAGTACTGTTTACAAGATCCAATGATACATTCTTCATGAAAAAAAGAAGCAGCAAATAGCCCTTTTTTACTGCTGACTTGCTACTGTAGTCTGACAGCTTATAGAAGAAATACCCAGTGGATGGAATCTGCCCATGGGGAAATAAAACAGCCTTTGGCAGAAGAATTCTTGGTTGAATTAGTAGAGAAGTGAAGTCTGTAAGATCAAGCAGATCAAGTAAATGCCTTCAGTCAGGGGACTGTCTGACCTTGTATTATAACCTCATCTTTTGTTGCTGGTTCCTTGTTGTTGTTGTTTGGTTTTTTCTTGCATTTGGGTATTGTAACCCTAAAGGGATTTTATAAGGATGATATGAACAGTTTAAAGAAGTCATCAAATAGTTGTCTTAGAAGAAAAAGTTATTATTGGGTTATTATTGGGGGAAAAAATCAAATACTTTAACAATCTTAATTGTGTTGTATCCAGTTGTTACACAATTCCAAACCTTCATATTGTTGGGTTTTTTAAATTTTTGTTTGTTTTTTAGCTGTAGTTGTCAGTAACAGCTAAACAGAACCACTCAGAGATCAGTATTTTTGAGCCATTTTTAAAGAAAGTTTTGTCTGTTATGTGTCAATTAGGGAAGACATGTGTAACAAGAAGGTGCCCTTATTTTTGGTACCAAAGATACACTGATTTTTGTATACAGCTACCTTTTTTCTTTTTATGAAAAAAACATGTACATTAAGTACCATGTTGCTGTACTGCTGAGGGGAAAAAAAATGTTTCTGGGTATTATTATTTACTGTAATTTATATTGATTGACTTGTTTGAATGAAGAAGCTTCAAACAGATTTTCTAAGCTAACTTTGCCAGGAAAGGTTTGTTCTTTTGAAAAATCTAATACTGTTTATTGCAAGCATTCAGCTATATTTGAATTTGATTTTTATTTCCATTTAGGCAAAAGGAATTTTTCAGTTTCATAATTCTTGTATTAAAACACACTGTAGTTTACTAAATAGAAATAATTATTTTGGGGGGATCTCTAATTTCTTTAAACCAAGGTGGTAAAAAAAATAGGTTCCTGAAATGTTGTCCAATTTTGAGGGAAAAAAGGCCCTGCAACATCCAGCTACCATTTTAAAATAGGTTTTAAAAAACTGAATAGACAATAAAGACACTGTTAGTCAAACACAGTTCTTTTATATTAAAAATTTTATCTAGTGTTGGACAATAAACCTCTCTTGTATTAGTTCAATAGTCTAATAAGTAAATGATTAAAATAACATCATTCTACCATATTCTTACATCAGTTCTTCTGAAATCCTTTTTTTTTTTAATCACACAGAATAACTGTTCTCTTCTTCTATTATTTCTGGGAAGACAGTTACAAATGGCATGAGGAACAGGAAATGGGCTCTGCAGGTTGTGAAATACCAAACCATTTCTTATTCCCTTCATAGCACAAACATGTAATTAGAGTGCCTGAATGCATTTGAATTTAAGAAAAATCTGAACACTTTCCTTTCGGAATTTGGTGTGCATCTCAGGAAACTTAACAGCAGGCAGTGAGCATCACTGCAGTAGCATGAAGAGTAAAGAACTAGTTTTAAAGAACAAATGCAGTCTTTATGCTCTCTGGTTGCACATTAATATAAAAATTATCTTGGCCACATGAGGGTTCCCTAATCCCAGCTGCTGGAATTGGACAAGATGATTCTGGGAGAATGTGTTTTCTGCCACTATGTTTCTGATTGCATCTTACTTGAGGATGGCTCTGGAGCTGTACCAAGCCTCCAATAATGCCCATTGTGTTCCCACAACCAGCTCACAAAAAAAATACTTGGAACATGTCATTCATATGTTGCTTAGGTCTCTTCCTGCCCACAACATCTGTGCAATGTGGGTTTTGTCTAGAAAAGAGAAATGTAAATGAAGTAAGAACCACCATGTTTGCACTGTACTGAACAGGATGGTAGATCACAAAAAACCCTTACAGATATACTAGACAGTATATGTGCTTGTTAAGTTTTCAGCTTTGGCACAGTTCTTTCTCCTCCTCTCTCTACCCTTATGGTATATTTCAGGTCTTGAATTGATCTGGTAAAATGCGTGTGCATTTCAGAACCAAACCACACTTCATGAACGCCACTCCTTACTTACCATGGCTTGGAAATGCAGATGGATCCATCATCCAGATCCAATCGCCAAATCTCTCACAGAGGAGGCTAAAGTGCTCCCTATTACAGTCAACAAACTGAGACTAAAGGTTGTGCACAATTGGCACAACCTTTAGACACAATTGGCTTTTCTTTCTTCTCTCACAAAGCTTTTGTTTTGGTTTTGTTTTAGGATTTAGAATTTGGCTCTCTGCATTTGGGGATTTACACTTTTTTAAATTAAGGTGATAGAGAGGTCATTTGAAGTTGCTTGTTCTTGATTAACTGAAAACCCCTATAGGACTATTTCTAAAGGGCAACAATTTAAAACAAGTATGGGAGATATACTTATTATTATAAAGGAATGCCTCTTGTTCCACATAGTTTTATGGAGGGATTATTTTTCTGTTTCTTGAGATATGAATTCCTTGAGCTCCATAGACCAGTGGTCCCCAGTTCATGGCACATGGGCAACATGTTGCCTGCAAGACCTTCTAATTAAGGTTGACAGGGAAAGCAAAATATAGTGTTGCACACAGTATATTTCTAGCTAGGTAGCATTGCTCATGGGCCAGTGAAGTTAGGGATCACTGCTCTAGCAGCTTAGAAAAGTGTCTGTTTGGCTTATTCACATATCTTTCATGCTTTTTACTTTATGTTCTCTGAATTTTCTCTCGCCTTTGCTCCCAAATGTCAATCATAGTCAGAAAAGGATGTCATCACTGGCTAAAACTTCTTTTTTCCATTTAAAGGATTTTTTAATACTCTAACGTAGGGAGCAGGAGAGCACACAAGCCTCCACGGCTCACCAAAAGCATCCGGGATTGTCTCCTTGCTGAAAAGGAGGCTTACACCCAAGGGAAAGAAGGGGTCATTACCAGGGAGGACTATTCTGCAGTTGCTCGGGGATGTAGGGGGGTAGTTAGGAAGGCC